TTTACGTTGATTGAGAAAGATTCCCTCCTTAGACTCTGCGAACTCCATCCCGAGAAAATACTTTAATTTTCCAAGGTCCTTGATATCAAATTCAGCTTCAAGTCTTCACTTTAGATCACCTATCTCATTAACATCATCTCCTGTCATGATAATGTCATCGACATACACAATTAAAATAGCAATCTTACCTTCATCTGAATGTTTAAAGAATAATGTGTGACCTGCTTGACTTTGGGTGAAACCATGTTTCTTAACAACACTTCCAAATCTTTCAAACCAGGCCCTTGGTTATTGTTTTAATCCATATAAGGACTTGTGAGTGTGTGATAACTTGTCATATGACTAGTAATTAGACATGGGGTGTTTAGTGCATGTTCGAGTACGTTTCCTATCAGCAATTGGGATATTAAGGTCAGAAATTTTTTTTCTCAAAGCAATAGGAAGATTAATATCAGAAAAAGACAAATCCAGTAAATCATTGGAAGAGTAAGATTGATTACCAGATGAAGAACTGGAAGGTGAAATTTCAATAGGACCTTCACTTGGTAAATCAGATTGGATTTTTTTCGGAGAGACAATTGGATTTGTAATACCTTTGTGAAACCTTTTTCGGACATACACTTGAAGTTGAGGATTATGATCCTCAATCAGTTTTTCTCCCCCTGTTTCAGACATTATATTATTCGACATTTCAAGATTAAGCATTCTGGGTTCTATTATCTTTGTATCTGGATGATTTGTAGTCACAATATCATGCAATGCAGGTAAAGTTTCCCAAAAATTATCTTCTTTATCAACACAATGATTCTCCCCCTGAAGAGAATTTTTATTAAAAAAAGGTTGATTTTCAACAAAATTGACATCCATACTTTCAAAAAATTTCTTTGTTATTGGGTTAAAGCATTTGTAACCCTTTTTGTTTGAAGCATAGCCAAGAAAAACACATTTTTCAGCTTTAGGATCCAATTTGGAACGGAAAATATTTGGGATGTAGACATAACAAAGACAATAAAAAATTTTAAGGGGAAGATCCGCAATGATGCGAGATGTGGGAACATAATTTTGTAAAACTTGCACATGAGTCTCATATTTTAAAACACGAGATGACATTCTATTGATGAGGTAACAAGCAGTTAATAAGGCATTTCCCCAAAGATATTTAGATACATTCATAGAAAACATAATAGCTCTAGTAACTTCGAAGAGATGTCTATTTTTTCTTTCAGCAATACCATTTTGTTGTGGAGTATCACGACAAGTGGATTGATGAATTATCCCCTTAGCTACTAGGAATGTACTTAGATATTTGTTGAAGTATTTAGTGCCATTGTCAGACCTTAGAATGCCAATCTTAGTTTGAAATTGGTTTTCAATCATTTGAAAAAAATCTTTAAACCATTGTACCATTTCAGATTTTTTTTCTAAGAGATAAATCCAACACACACGTGTATGGTCATCAATAAATGTCACGAACCATTTTTTTTCAGACATAGTTTTAATTTTTGACGGAACAAGGGAAATAGGATTTGAATAAATGAGAGCAATTGTTCATATGTTCAGATGCCCTTGAATCTATTATCCAAGGGTTGGAGTGGTTTTGGACAGATAATGCTCAAGAATTCTTACCTGTTTGTGCCACAGTTCCAACAGGAACATTAGGTGATGAGTTGAACTTTAGAAGTTTAAAAAGGTGATCCATTTGCTCCTTAGTAAATGGAGACTTGTTAGCCTCGTTGGTTGTAGACGTAGGGCGGTCACCAAACCTTCCAACCTTTCTATTATTTGGCCTACCATGTAGTTTGAAACAGTTTTGTCGAGTGTGACGACTTTGACCATAGTAGTCGCAAACTAAATGGTTCATGTCACCACCTCGTGGATTGGGGAAAGGTTTGCGATTGACTTGAGGAACAGCCAATGCAGATCCTTCGACTGGTGGAGGGACAACGACAGCCTCTTTTCCAAGCATCACCTGCCTGCGACTCTCTTCGCGACGCACTTCAGCAAATACTTCACCAATTAGAGGTATAGGATTCCTGCCAAGAATTTGGCCACGAACCTCATCAAACTCAATATTTAGACCTGTAAGAAACTTGAAGACTCGACGAACATCCACCATCTTCTTGTAGTGCTTGCAGTCCTCGGGTGACTTCCACTCATATACATTGAACAAATCCAGATCTTGCCAAATCGCTTGAGACAATTGAAGTATTTGGTAACGGAATCTTCTGCTTGACAAATTTCTCCAACCTGGAGAGTTAATTCATAAATTTGGGATTAGTTGTCCAAATCAGAATACATCTGAGTGACACTTTCCCAAAAATCTTTTGCAGTAGCATAACAAAGATAGTTTGCACCTATCTCTTCAGCATCCCAACTATCATAGTCTACACCTTCCTTGTCTGGTTGTTTCTTGTCTCCAGTGATGTAGCCAATTTTTCCTCTTCCCCTGAGATACAAACAGACAGACTCAGACCACCGAAAATAATTAGGACCGTTCAATTGAATTGTTGTGATCTGAACAGGGTGGTTTTCATGGTATGTCCTGACAGATTGAGGTATTTCAGGTTTAAGTGAAGAATGTTTAGGCGAATGTTGAGACTTGGTATCAGACAGGTGATCAGACATTATGTGGGATGAGAAAAAACGGAAGCAAAAGAAAAAACCGAAGGAATTCTTCCAGCAACTGATACCATAAAGAAATAAATACTCTGTATTTCTTTGATATATCATTAAGTAATACATGAAAGGTATTTATAGAATACAATGGACAGATCAATAATCCTAAATCTGGCCTGAGAATCAAAGCAATTATCCTCCCTTTAAATGCTAATTCTAAAAATGGTAGAAGACAACTAATTACTAATTATTAATAGTTAATTACTAATTATTTACAATGAATATTATGCTGAACTATATAATACAGAATCTGTTGATTATGTACTTATCTCTAATAACTTCCAACAGTAACCTATGTGACTTGCCAAGGTAGCAAGCATGACACAGTTCTGTAGATGGTTTGGGAAGGATAGGGAGATTGCTTTGTTTGAAAATCTCAACAAGAGCATGATGATTAGGGTGCCCCAATCGAGTATGCCACAAAACATATTTATTAGTTGCTATAGATGATGAACTATTTGAATGTGATGAAGATAACTCAGTGTTGTAAGTAGTAGAATTAAGAGAAGGAGAATGGAAAAGACTGCTCACAGTGGTATTATTATATGTATTAGGATTACAAAGAGTAATACAGTGGGAGATACAATTTGGCAAACAATTGGAAAAATTACTATTGTGTGTTACAGAAGAACAAGGGAAACTACAACTACAATTATTCTTGGAGACAGATTGAGCAAAATAGTAATTAAGGCTTGTAGAGGACTTGGACAGTTGAGTGGCAGGATTTGTAAATTTGTAGAGGCCATCACTTCCAATAGACCCACGAAGTAACACTTCAGAAGAAGCCTGAGATTTGACAACACAAAATTTAGGATGAAATTCAAAGAAAACATTGTTGTCTTGAGCAAATTTGCTCACACTCATCAAGTTTTTGGTGATGTGAGGAACAAGTAAGAGATTTCAGAGAGTAAGGGATAGGTTAGGATTGTTTGGTAAGGAAAAGGACATAAAACCAATAGAATTTATAGACAAACCTTGGCCATTTCCCATGCTTGAGCAAATGTTTGTGGCGGTGGGATCAGTGGGAATTGGCGTAGACTGTGGCACTGCCTGAGTAAGATTCACCGTCGCAGGCTTCGCAGTTACGGCTTTGCGATGCTTCTCCAGACGCGACTCATGAGCCAGCAGCGACGACTCCAACTCCTCTAACGAGCTTAATTCTTCTTTACTGTTAACAGCGGCAACGATGGAGTCGTACTCCTCAGGGAGAGAATCAAGAACAATCTCAATTAGGTTACGAAGAGGAACTGGATCCCCAATCGAAGTTAGTGATTCACTGATTTCACGCGCACGAGCCATAAGTTCCTCAATCGTGAGTGTTCCTTTCGTGAGACGACGTAAATCCGATTGCAGCTGTCGCGCTTTGGTAGAGAGAAGCGTGTTGAAGTACCGATGAATCTCCGTCCAAACTTGCCAAGAATGCTTGCAATCCACAAGCTTCGGTAGAAGTGAATCGGAGATGGTGGATAGCAGCTAGGTACAAATGAGTGCGTCCTGTTGTTCCCATTCCAAGTACGCTGAATTCGCACCGTGAAGTGTTGAATCGGAATCGGACGGTGACCGCTGTGGAATAACCGGAACTGTAACAAACCGTTGCAGGCGATGACCGCGAACAACGGCATCGATCTGTTGCTTCCACTGCTTGAAGTTCTTGTCATCAAGCTTCATAGAAATTAAGTGAGATAGCTTCACTTGCAAAGACGGAAACAAAGACTCCATGGATCGAAAAAAAATTAAGCTCTGGATACCATAATAGAGTTTGATAAAGCAGAAAAAATTAGAATAGGTTGAGAATTTCTCATTATGTTCAATGTATATGTATGTTGATACAAGGGGCTCTCTATATATAGAGAGATCACCTAGATCTAACTAACTAACTAACTGAAGCAACTAACTAACTAACTAACTGAAGCTGCTATAACAAACTGGACAACTCAGCAAGAGGAAAACAGAGTTCTAGAAATGACTAACTAACTCTATCTTTAACTATTCTATTAACACTCCATGTTTTGTTCTTTTCAAAAACTTTCATCTCCTTAAGTACAACTTCCGTCTACTTTGAAATTTCTAGAGCAACCAATACACTTTTTGGAATTTCTACACTAGACAATTTTGAGGTGGAGACAGACATAGATGAAGACAAATTTGAATATGAAATAAAATTGGACATGGAGTTTTTAGTGCAAGATCTGACAGGTTTTGTAATGGCAACTAGATCATCTATATCAGGATACAAAATACGACTCTCAGAAACAGAGATAGATTTATCTTTTCTTTTGTTAGGAGGTTGATCATTCTCCAGTTCATATTCCTGGCAGTGTTAAATGTGGACTCGTTCCTTCTTTTATGGTGCTTTTTCGTAAAAACCTTCCCTTTCCAAGTCCTGTTTACGAATTCAAATATGGTTTTTTGAAGTGACTCATTATTTTGTGGCAGTTCTAATAGATCATTATTATCATCGTTTTCAAGACCTTTTTATCCGCAGCCTTTCAGCTTTAGGTAATAACTAGCTTTAATATTCTCTGAAACACCCGAAATAGATAGACTATATCGTTCTGTTATATTATTGCTGTTTTAAGTTTGATTTATGGTTATTTCAATGCATAACACTTTTAGACACCATATTCCTTTATCCTAAGCTGTCCCTTCTTCATCGGCTTAAAACACTCCTCTGCACTAACAAGATGAGATTCCTCCTCCTAGAACCTCCTACTATTGACAACAGATAATCCTCACAGGCTCGTCAATGTTTTGAGCCACTAACTATCATGTTAAAAGAGAAATATGATAGGTAGGGATATAAAGCAAACAAATATATTTTATTCTTTGACATGCTCGGTCATGTATTCACCAATTGTATAATGTATACACCACAAAGCAATTTAGTCTTGTTTACATTCAAAAGTTAGAAGCCTCTCCTATTACTTGATTTATGGACCGGTTTTGTATTCAAATGATTGCTTGAGCTCTAAGAGCAGAGGCCCAAACCCTGCTGAATTTCTAAAAAGACAAGAAACAACTGCAATAACATTTTAAAAAAGGACCATCCGTGTAACATTTTCCATGTCTTATAGAAGAAAAAGAGAATTATAATCTGTAAATTGCAAATACCACACTTCCCCTCTCTGATCCCACATAACGACTTGCATCTAATCGAAACTTGCTTGGAACCTTTTGTTGGCTAGTGACTTAAAACATCAGCCACCAATGTTATCAGGAAAGGTGATAAAGGGCCTCCATTCCTCACACATTACTCCCATTGAAACCAAATTACTTGTATATCATGATTATTGCAAAATGGATAAAGCAAATTTAGTTTAATTATTTACTCAAAATGGAAATGAAAATTACAAGAATATTTTGCAGTTCTTTTCTATACATAATTATTTACGCGATTTTAGAACTATTAGTCTGAGCTCGTGGAATTTCTCTTTGATAGGTATTGATGTTACTGCTCTTGATATACGATTTGTAGACGACAATTGGGAGAGCCCGGTAATATTCTGTTTTAATTTATAACTGTGCTTACTGAAATGCAATTTAAAGTTTTTAAATTTTGTGCTGGTAACGTTGTCATCTACATATCGATATGTTAATTAAAAGTGTATATAGGTTCTTGGTGCCTGGGGTTTAGGATGGGAAATCTGGATGGATGGAATGGAGATTACTCAGTTTACCTACTTTCAGCAGGTATGCTTTGTTGCTCAGAGTAAATATCAGTACTTACACACAAGGACTAAATTTTACCAGAGAGAAGAAACAATTAAAAGTGGTGGAGTTCAATACTCCCTGCTTAACAATGCCGGAGATTTTTTTGTAAGAGAGAGAAGAGAACACAATCTTTTGGTTATCATGTTTTCGTTACAATGTTACTTTTTTGGGCAGTTCAATTCCATTTTCAATTATTGAAAATAGAAAAGAAACCTTTTGAGTGGTTCTCTGCTATACCATTTTGTATATTTTAATTGTGCTTTCCTTCCAGGCTGGAAGTCTCCAGTTATCATTAGTATCGGTAGAAATAACTTATGGCCTGGAGCGTATATTTAAAAATGTTACTGCAGGTCAGTTGACTGATTTTCTTTTAGAGTAAACATCAAGTTGGTCGTTCAAAGTTTTACATGCCACTGCATTAGTCATCTAAAAACTTTGGTAACCAATTTAGTTCCTAAAGGTCTACATATTCATCCTTATGAAGGACTTATGCGATGATATATAAAATTAACAGATTGGGTGACCAGTGAAATTTTTGAGGGGGACTACTTTGATGACAATTTGGAGGACCAACTTGGCGGTTTACTATTTTTCTTCATGCACTCTATCTATATCATCCATTTAATAACTTTCTAAAGTTTTATGTTTTGTAATAGGGAGTTGATCACTTCAAAAAGATCAAATATTCTGATGGAATTACTTATGGAGAGCTATTCTTGGAGAATGAGTATTTTTTCATTCTGTCTACTGGTATTTGGATTGCATTTGATTTTATTTGCTTTATGGTGAAATATTGTTTGGAGTTGCCATCAATGTTACATTTTCCTTTTCAATTGTTTTCTTCAATTTGGCATTTTCTTTTATAACACAAAATTAAACGAGAGGAATATATTTCTAGTCTAAATGTCTAATGACCGTTCTTTTGGCATAAAACGAAAAAGTACATGGAAGGATACACCAACAACAACCGAGCCGTATTCCATTAAATGGAGTCCACTACATGAGTGACCTTCTGCCATAATGTTTTTGTTGAAGATTAGCACATATCAAATCATAATCATTTGGTTCTGATTTGTCAAGTTGTTACAAAACAGTGTGTAAATAGATTTATTATCTATTATTGTTATTTTCTTATTTAGGTAGTTGTTATTTCCTTATTTAGGTAGCAGCAATTATAGGAAATTATTTCTCTGTTTATTAACAAATTAGTGTACAGCTTATGTATTCTATTTATACCTCACAATGTAAGAGTTCCAATCACGATGAAATATACAACATATTTCTTCTATATGGTATCAGAGCACAAGATCTGAACCATCCCTAAACCTTGAGCACCACCCATGGACCCATGGCAGATACTAAAGCAGAAAATTCAGCCAACAGTTTGGCTGAAGGACATGCTCTTCCTATCACTGGTCACAAATTGAATGGCCAGAATTACAATCAATGGGTGCGCTCGGTCAAAATCTACCTTCAAGGAAAAGGGAAGGAAGGTTATATCACAGGAGACTCCAAGTGTTCAAAAAAGGGGAATTCCAACATCAAAAAATGGCAATTAGAAAACAGGAAGGTTATACCTCACAATGTAAGAGTTCCAATCACGATGAAATATGCAACATATTTCTTCTATATGGTATCAGAGCACAAGATCTGAACCATCCCTAAACCTTGAGCACCACCCATGGCGGATACTAAAGCAGAAAATTCAGCCAACAGTTTGGCTAAAGGACATGCTCTTCCTATCACTGGTCACAAATTGAATGGCCAGAATTACAATCAATGGGTGCGCTCGGTCAAAATCTACCTTCAAGGAAAAGGGAAGGAAGGTTATATCACAGGAGACTCCAAGTGTTCAAAAAAGGGGGATTCCAACATCAAAAAATGACAATTAGAAAACAGGAAGGTTATACCTCTCAATGTAAGTGTTCCAATCACGATGAAATATGCAACATATTTCTTCTATATGGTATCAGAGCACAAGATCTGAACCATCCCTAAACCTTGAGCACCACCCATGGCAGATACTAAAGCAGAAAATTCAGCCAACAGTTTGGCTAAAGGACATGCTCTTCCTATCACTGGTCACAAATTGAATGGCCAGAATTACAATCAATGGGTGCGCTCGGTCAAAATCTACCTTCAAGGAAAAGGGAAGGAAGGTTATATCACTGGAGACTCCAAGTGTCCAAAAAAGGGGGATTCCAACATCGAAAAATGGCAATTAGAAAACAGTCTAGTAATGGCATGGCTACTAAACACCATGACAAATGAAATTGGAGAAAATTTCATGTACTATGACACTGCTAAAGAGATGTGGGATGCCGTAAATGAAACTTACTCTAATGTCGACAATACATCTGCAATCTTTGAAATAAAGAGCATATTCCATGATTTGCGTCAAGATGACCGCTCAGTCACAGAGTATTTTAATACTCTCAATTGTCACTGGCAACAATTGGATGTATTTGATGAAGTTGAATGGAGCTGCACAGATGATAAAAAGAAGTACAAAGAATTGGTGGAGAAAGATAGAGTCTACAAATTTCTATTAGGTTTGAACACAGAACTTGATGAAGTTCGTGGGAGAATCCTTGGAACCAAACCTCTTCCAAAAATTCGAGAAGCATTTTCGAAAATAAGAAGAGAGGAGAGCAGGAGAAAAGTGATTCTTGGAAAATCTATAGAAGGATCTGCAATGGCAGCAAGGGGAGATAAACGTTCTTTTCAAAAGAAAACTCGGCCTTGGTGTGACCACTGCTAGAAACCGGGTCATACCAAGGACACATGCTGGATCATTCATAGAAAGCCATCATGGACCAAAAACCGGGACAACAGAGGGAACACAGTTGAGGTAAATTCTCACTCATCACCATTCAACAAGGAGCAAATGGAAGCCTTACAAAAAATGCTTCAACAAACAATTGGTACAACTACTGTGGCACAAAAAGGTAATTTTTTGCATGCTCTAAACACTAGCAGGGGAAAACAAAATTCATGGATTATTGACTCAGGAGCATCTGATCACATGACTGGAGATTTGAATGTCTTTGATAGCTTTTCTCCATGTCAAAATGATTCGACTGTTCGAATTGCTGATGGTACCCTTTCTAAGGTCATGGGTAAAGGTTCAGTCATTATTTCACAAAATATTACTCTTAGTTCAGTACTTTATGTGCCTAAACTTGACTGTAACTTGCTGTCCATCAGTAAACTTACAAAGGATTATAAGTGCATCACTAAATTCTTTCTTAACCTGTGTAAATTTCAGATTTTGGAGTCGGGGAGGACGATTGACAATGCTAAAGAATGTGTTGGACTCTATATCCTTCAGGCTGAAGCATCTAAACCAGAATCCGAGGCAACCTCTTGCGCTGTAGTTTCTGCATGTAGTGAAAATTCTGCCATGCTGTGGCACTATAGACTAGGCCACCCAAATTTTATGTACATGAAAGAAATGCTTCCTAAATTATTCAATAAAAATCAGAAGTTGTTTCAATGTGAAATTTGTCAATTGTCCAAACATACACGCAGCCCCCACCCACCTAAACCCTATAAACCTTCCCAACCTTTTTATCTTATTCATAGTGATGTATGGGGACCATCACGGGTCAGAAATGTAACTGGATAAAGATGGTTTGTCACCTTTATTGATGACCACACACGGATCACTTGGCTCTACCTTATGAAAGACAAATCGGAAGTTGGTAGGATATTTGAATGTTTCCATACCATGGTGCGAACACAATTTCAAAGCAAAATTAGAGTGCTTAAGAGTGATAATGGTCGTGAGTACTATAAAAACTTTGGTAACCAATTTAGTTCCTAAAGGTCTACATATTCATCCTTATGAAGGACTTATGCGATGATATATAAAATTAACAGATTGGGTGACCAGTGAAATTTTTGAGGGGGACTACTTTGATGACAATTTGGAGGACCAACTTGGCGGTTTACTATTTTTCTTCATGCACTCTATCTATATCATCCATTTAATAACTTTCTAAAGTTTTATGTTTTGTAATAGGGAGTTGATCACTTCAAAAAGATCAAATATTCTGATGGAATTACTTATGGAGAGCTATTCTTGGAGAATGAGTATTTTTTCATTCTGTCTACTGGTATTTGGATTGCATTTGATTTTATTTGCTTTATGGTGAAATATTGTTTGGAGTTGCCATCAATGTTACATTTTCCTTTTCAATTGTTTTCTTCAATTTGGCATTTTCTTTTATAACACAAAATTAAACGAGAGGAATATATTTCTAGTCTAAATGTCTAATGACCGTTCTTTTGGCATAAAACGAAAAAGTACATGGAAGGATACACCAACAACAACCGAGCCGTATTCCATTAAATGGAGTCCACTACATGAGTGACCTTCTGCCATAATGTTTTTGTTGAAGATTAGCACATATCAAATCATAATCATTTGGTTCTGATTTGTCAAGTTGTTACAAAACAGTGTGTAAATGGATTTATTATCTATTATTGTTATTTTCTTATTTAGGTAGTTGTTATTTCCTTATTTAGGTAGCAACAATTATAGGAAATTATTTCTCTGTTTATTAACAAATTAGTGTACAGCTTATGTATTCTATTTATACCTCACAATGTAAGAGTTCCAATCACGATGAAATATACAACATATTTCTTCTATATGGTATCAGAGCACAAGATCTGAACCATCCCTAAACCTTGAGCACCACCCATGGACCCATGGCAGATACTAAAGCAGAAAATTCAGCCAACAGTTTGGCTGAAGGACATGCTCTTCCTATCACTGGTCACAAATTGAATGGCCAAAATTACAATCAATGGGTGCGCTCGGTCAAAATCTACCTTCAAGGAAAAGGGAAGGAAGGTTATATCACAGGAGACTCCAAGTGTTCAAAAAAGGGGAATTCCAACATCAAAAAATGGCAATTAGAAAACAGGAAGGTTATACCTCACAATGTAAGAGTTCCAATCACGATGAAATATGCAACATATTTCTTCTATATGGTATCAGAGCACAAGATCTGAACCATCCCTAAACCTTGAGCACCACACATGGAGGATACTAAAGCAGAAAATTCAGCCAACAGTTTGGCTAAAGGACATGCTCTTCCTATCACTGGTCACAAATTGAATGGCCAGAATTACAATCAATGGGTGCGCTCGGTCAAAATCTACCTTCAAGGAAAAGGGAAGGAAGGTTATATCACAGGAGACTCCAAGTGTTCAAAAAAGGGGGATTCTAACATCAAAAAATGACAATTAGAAAACAGGAAGGTTATACCTCTCAATGTAAGTGTTCCAATCACGATGAAATATGCAACATATTTCTTCTATATGGTATCAAAGCACAAGATCTGAACCATCCCTAAACCTTGAGCACCA